TTTAAATCTAATAAAGCTTTTGAAGGCAACATGAAATTTCTTAAGGGAAGTATATAGTCAATGCTTATGTATGATAAAAATGCGTCAGTAATTGCATAGCTGCCAACCAACTGACTTGGGTGAGGGGAAAAGACTACTGATGAGAAATAGTTTCAAAGGATGTGGAAAAAAAATTACTTGGACTAGCTTTCTCTTGTATTTAAAATATTATGCTTCTGTCCCCCTTTTTCCCCCTTGCTGACTTTAGAAAATCTCTCATAGCCTGGTGAGTAGGTTGCCCACCAATTATGCTACCCATTCATTTGGAAAAGATACAGTGCATTTCCATTTATGTTTAGACAAGCAGGCATCCATTTGCTAAACAGAAGTATCTAGAGTTTTTGTGAGCCTCCACTTTATTTTACATTCTCCTCAAGTTTTAGTGTTCTGTTTTGTCTTTTTATTAAAAAACTTAATCATTTTTATTTGTAAGTTTTCCATAAGACTAAAAGTGTGTTTCTAAAGTAAAAAAGGCAGTCCCTGGAACCAGAAATTCTCATATTCCCCATTACAAAGTACAGTTGTCATGTGCTTTGAGCTTTTATTATAACAGGCAAATTGGATACAATTTTTAAACGTCCTAAACATCTCTCTTAAATGGTCACTTGACTGGCCTTTTAGACCAGTTAGTTGGAAATGCACTGTCACTTTTTCTGCATGCTTCACCAGAGGATGCTCCCAGGAATCCTGCAGAGGGCTTGCCCCATGAAGAAGAAAGGAGCACTTTACATGACTGAATGCACATAGTAGATCCTACCGATATTTTTACAATTTCAAAAGGATAAACAGACTTTCTTTTTTAATATTTAAATATACTAAGATATATACTCTCTTTGGTTTCCTATTAATCTACTTTAAGCCCTTTTAGCCTTTTATAAAATTTACCCTTATTATCCAGGTTCAGATATTCAAAGACTAGGAGCTCTGATAGTGTAGTGCCTAAGGCACTTGACTGCTAATCAGAGGCTGGCAGTTCAAACCACCAGCCACTCCTCGGAAGGAAGGTTGGGCAATCTACTTCTGTAGTGATACTGCCTTGGAAACCCAAGGGAGGGGTCGCTATGAGTCAGGTCCGACTCAACAACAACATATACAGTAAATAAAAGTGGTAGGTCTTGAATTAACCAGAGAGCATGAAAGAAAGAAAATAATACCAGAGATCTAGAGGAGTGTTTTCTATTTTGTAAAAGGTTCCCCATATTTGTTCTTCTTTCCTTCTCATCCTAACCATTGTGAGGTGGATATTATTCTTACCTTCTCTTTAAACAGATAGGAGCCTGAAGCTCCCAGAGGCTGGGAGACTTGCTCACAATTGACAGACTGACTGAGGAGTCAGTTCAAAGCTTTAGTTTGATGATCTTTCATACTTTAAGGATCATGTTTCTTCCCTCTAATTTCTTAATATCAGTAAAAATTGCTTTGTGTTGGTATATGTTTTTTAAACAAGTTTGGTGAAGTACAGAGTCAGCCACTTAGTGCTGGCCATATTTTAACAAAAAACAAAAACCACTATTCTTAATATAAATTAACTCTTGCTTACCTAAACCTCAAGAATACCTCCAATACCTGAAAACTTGTATTTCTTACTTATCTCAAGAGCAGTTTGAAGAGAAAGCAGTATTGTTAAACTGCAGCCTTTCAAAACAAATATGTTGACTGCTACTTTGACAGCTATTATATGTTAATACTAGAGGATGAGGTAGTCATTTCTTAATAACAATAGTACTGATAATGACTCCAGCAATCAAGCCACCCAGCCGCTATTATGTAGATAAACAAACAGATACCTAAGGAGGTTTCAGCTGCCTTGCTCTGTGGCTTACCACTAACCAACAGCGGAACCAGGAGTGAAGCCCAGGTCCTGACTCTCAGTCCGTTATTCTCATGTTCTTTCTATAATGCCATGTCTCTTCTTGTAATTCTAGGAATAGTAGCATCTATCTCTGTAGCACTCATGTAGTTAAAACACTTGCTTTGTCTTGTCTGCCCACATGCCAGAGCATGTTGCTTATTTGTGTTGATTCATGCTGCAGTTATGTTAATAATGCCAAAAGTTTGTATATTCATAATCCTTCTTTAAAATTTCATTAGAAAGCTGGGGCCTTGGAAGGTGTGCCTATATCCGGGGTAAGTTTCATCACTAAACATTTCCCTGCTAATCTCCACCCCTACCGGTACTCTACTTTCCTCCTATATCTTAAAAAATCAGGCAGCCCCTTCCTAAACCATAGAAAACAAGTTACAGCAATAAAGTGGGCTAATGCTTGTTCTTATGTGACACGGTGTGGGCCATTAAGAATCTTTCAATAAATTAATGAGTTATTTCTCTAACTCTCCCTTCCCATACCTAATAGTACCTTGTAGGACTGTTAACAAATGGGAAAAGGGCCAAATGGAACAAATGCAAGAAACATAGAAAATTCATTCCTTGCTAAATAAAAAAGGGAAAAGAAATCTTAAGATGATGCTAAATAGGAAATTTTTAATGTTGTTTTAGTCCATGTTCTTTATTGTCATTTATACTTTCAGTGCTTGGGGGACCAGTCTGCTGCATTAGTGGGACAAATGTGCTTTCAGGATGGACAAGCCAAAAACACGTGAGTTTAAGATTTAAGAAACAGACCTAAAACCTCTAGCTGACTAAAATGGTGTTTTGTTCTTCCCCCTTGGTGCTTTTAATGAGGAGAAGCTTTTGAAATTCTTCAGGCTACACATCAATAGCTTAATAAGTCCAATATGCATATGTAAACTTGTTCAGTTATTTGAATAAGACACTTCAGATCATACGTAGAACATACTGCAGAAGTTTATGCAAACTGTCTTAGTTTCCTGGTGCTGCTGTAACAAATACAAGTAGGTGGCTTTAAAGAAGAGAAATTTATTTTCTGACTGTTTCCGAGGCTGGAAGTCTAAATTCAGGACTCTAGAAGAAGGCCCTCTTCTTCTTCTCCTCCTTCTTGGTGGGCTCTAAGGGAAGATATTTGTCTCTTTCAGCTTCTATAGACCTTCTTGGGGTCTGTCTTTCCTCTAGTTTATGCGTGTCTCTGAGTCTCATCTTCTCTTTTGAGAAGTCAGAAATGATTGGGTTTAGGACACACCCTATACTGATAAGCCCTTGTTAACATAACAAAGAGGCCCTATTGCCAAATGGAATTCCATCCCTGTAGGGGTCAGGATTCCAGCACATATTTTGGCAGGATGCCATTCAATCCATAACAAAGGCCTTAATTTATAAAATATACTATCTTTTTCCATCCCAGAAACTAAATTTAGGCTTTAAAGTAAGTATCAATGACCAGACATGCTTATAGGGGAGAAAAGGTAGGAAAGAACCATAATTTAAACTATAATTTTCAGTGTTATTCCTGCCTAAGTCTTTCTCACTGTAATTGTAAAGTTATATTGTTATGGAATTCTCAGAACTATTTTCCTAGCACTGTGCTTTCTCCCTGTTATCTCAATTTTTTCCCTTGACAAGCAGCAGAAACAATGATAGAAATGGAGATTTTGTGCATTTTTCTCCTAATCTCATCTCCTTGTTAGTCACTAATCAAACTAAGCAAAGGTACAAATGAAGAAATTGAAGACTGTGTTTAGAGAATGTTGAAAAGATGAAGGTGGGGAAGTGGTGAGGAGCCTGTGACAAGCCTCATATCTGAGAGCAGTAAGATCACTCCCACTTTAGATGAGAAAAACAGATGCTCAGAAAGGTTAAGTGGCTTTCCTAAAATCATAGTACTGATGCAAATCAGAACCAAATCCCAAATCCACCCTTCTGATAAAATCGGGAGCTCTTTCTTTCTGTTACATCATTAACCATACTTATTAGAAAGTAGCATTTTAGACATTAAAACAATACCTACTGATATGTATCTAGATGAACAAAAACGCAATATGCTTTAAAAAGTTGAAAAATAATTGTAATTATAACTTAAGCCCAGCAAATGGACATTGTGCTACAGATAATGCACCATGTCCTTTAAACACATTATATCTTTTAATCCTCATAGAAATTCTACTAAGATCCCCATGTTATAAAGGAAAAAACTGAGAAGTAGAGAGAATAACTAATTTATGCAACATCACGTGGCTGGTAACCAGAAGAAGCGATATTTGTACCCATATCTATCTCATTACTTAGCCAGGGTTCTTAACCGCCATACTTTATTATCTCCCTAAGAAAAGATTTCCATAGACCTAGCAGGAAACTATCTACATTTAACTGATCATATCTTGAGAATCTCCTAATTCTCTCATCTTAACTTTGGCAGTTTAGAAGTTCTTTTGTGAATAATGGAATGTCTAACAAATTTACATTGAATATTCTTGTAGTCTGGCAATTTGAGCAGTCATGGGTGAGTGTGACATTATTTGTGAGAGAGGTTTTTTGGGAGAGGTGATATAAAAATTGTTTGCAGGTCATGGTAACCAGAGGTTACTGTCAGGATATTTTGAGTAAGCATGTGTTTGGAAACAGATTCTTTGAATTCTGGGTTCCAGACAGTTGAAGTGAGAGTCAAGAGAAACGAGAAAAATACTGTTTATACCCTTCCTTCTTCCTCTGCTAGAAATACAAATGCTAGTAAATCCGATGTTATCTAGCACAGAATATAGGACTCTAGTAGGCACGCAATAAAATTGCCCTATTTTCCTCCTTTCTTTACTGCCCCCCCATAGGTGTTATCAGCCATCCTTAAATGATGACTTTCGGTTAGAGAGTGCTTGTTGAGTGCATCTGCAACAACTGCAGATTAGAGGAGGGAATTAAGATCTTTGGTGTCATATTTCTTATTAAGGGGAGAAAGAACACAAATACACAATCATTATCAATTCAAACTTATGTGCTATAAGAAACTTTGAAGTAATGCTGTTGGGTTTCAAAGGGAAGGAAGAAAAGTCACAAGATTATGTTAGTGAAGAGATGTTTTGAAAAATAAGTGATACTGGCAAGTGGAGGGAACACTGGACAAAGGTACAAATAAGGAAGTTGAAGACTTTATTTAGAGAATGTATAAAAGATCAAGGTAGGGAGATCAAGGTAGGGAAGTGGCCGAAAACAAGGCTAGAGAAATGGGTTGGTCATGTTGTGCAGCTCTGAATTTCAGGCTGAGGAAGTTTTTAAAATTTTTTTATGGTAATTTGGGTGAAAGTTTACAGAGCTATCCTTTTCCATACAGCAATTTGTACACCATTTGTTTCATGACATTGACTGTAATCCCCACAATGTAACAGCTCTCTTCCCACTTCCTCCCTGTAGTTACATCTTCCCTGTGTCCTTCTTTCCTGTGAATTCCTGCCCCCTGAGTTATCTCCTTGTACAAATACTGCCCTTCTGCTCTTTCATGATTGACTGTTCTAAGGAGTGTTATCTACCTGGTGTAAAAATATTCACCCTATGTGCCTGTCTGTTGTTTGCCTGGAAGCCACAGGAGTGAGTTCAATTCTAGGCCTGAAGGGTAACTGGTAACTAGGGGCCCTAATCTAGTTAGGTAGCCAGCCGATGCAGAGAGGAACCAGGCCAGAGTGAATTGTTAAAAAATAAGTTTTAGCTGTATGAAAAGTGAATTTACTCTCTAAATCTTCACCCAAATCAAAATAAAATTAAAAAAAAAAAATAAGTTTTATTGAATCATCTGCCCCAACAGATGGGCTGAGGCTTAAAACAGCATTAGCCAACCCAGCCTGTCTCCGCAGGGTACCTAAGTAGTGTTTTAATGTGGGAGGTAGAGTGCCTCTTTCAAAAGAAGAAATCCTTAATGGGTCTATAAGTTGTGTGGGGAGGGAACTGAGTGCAGAGGCAGAAATTAAATGGGGGGTGGGGAGCAGGAACAAGACAGAAACTGAAACTGAGTGTAGGGTGTGGGGACAAGGCAGAGGTGGCAACGGAACACAAAGAGGAGAGGCAGAAGCTGAGTAACTGTGGGCTGGGTGGAGAGTTAACCTATTAAGTCTTGGGGATTTCACCACGCTCTGTCAGACCAGTAAGCCTAGTCTTTATGATTTTGAGTTTTGTTCCACATTATTCTCCCAGTTTATCTAGGATCTCCCACGCTGATTCCTTTGCGAGTGTTTGATAGTAGTAGCCAGGCACCATCTAGTTCTTCTGGTATCAGTGTCATGTAGGCTAGAGTTCTCGTGGTCTCCTAGTCCCTTGGACTAAGTGTTTCCATGCGTCTTTTGTTTTCTTCATTCTTCTTTACTCTGGACGAGGAGAGACCAATTACTGCATCTAGATGGCCGCTTGCAAGCCTTTAAGACCCCAGTCGCTACTCACCAAAGTAGGATGTAGAACAATGTTTTTTTGTGTAATATATTATGCCAGTTGAGCTTGATGTCCCCTGTGACTATGGTCCCAAGCCCACAGATCCAACAACTCCTCCATTAGGGTGGTTGAATGTGCTTAAGAAGTTATCATAACTTTGTATCCCATTAGTTCTATTTATATGGACATTCTTATAGCACATACAGATACGTGTATAGAAATATTGTCTGCCAACCTTGTATATGGTCATGGGTCTATTCCCTTTTGCCTGGACATACCTGATCATTCAGCCTGTCTACCTATCTATTTACTCATAGATTGTTTGTTATCACTGATAAAACACAGTATTGTATATATAAAAGTGTTTATGTTTGTTGTCTGTAGTACCCTGAGGAGGTTTTTCTTGACAAACCAGTGGGAAACTTCTGAAGGTTTATGAGCTGGTGTTCAGAAATGACTGCAGCTCATAGTTAATAATATGGAAGTCCTAGGTCAGACTTGAGGAGAGACTAGAGGCAAAGAGAATGTGAAAGAGGTCACTACAGTAGCATTCTAGTGTTGAGGGTATGGATTAAGGAGCATGGGTATAAGAAAGGGAGGCTGGGGTGGATATGACTGGGTATGGTGGGAAGGGAAAGAAAGAGGAAGAAGGTATTAATTACATCGTGGCGCTTGAGTTAGGTGGTTTGAGTAGAAGAATTTCTGTTTGGAACATAATTTGTGGCACATATTTGGAAACATGGAATGAGTTCAATATAAAAAGAGAGATTTTGTATTTCCCCACATGTAGATGTAATTTTTGAAGCAGTACCATTAGATGAAATTACCAAGAAAAAGGATACATAAAAGTAGAGGACGTATTTGGAAGAAGTATGAGACACAGAGATGGAAAGTCAGAAAAACAGATGAGAATGTAGTTATCACGAATATAGAAATCCAGGATAAATATTATTTAAGAGGGAGGCATGGTCAGCAGCACAGAATACTACCGAAAAGTCAAGGAGGCTGAGAACTGAGAGCAGACTATTGGACATAGAAATTTGGATTTCATTGGTGATCCCCAAGAATGAAATTGCATTGGTTTCCTAGGGCTGCTATAACAAATGCCACAAACTTGTGTGGCTTATAAGAACAGAAATTTACTGTCTTCTAGTTTTAGAGGCTAGTAGTCCACTCTCAAGATGTTAACCATGTTGATTCCTTCTGAGGGCTCTGAGAATCTGTTCCATGCCTCTCTCCTAGTTTCTAGAGATAGCCAGCAATCCTTGGCATTCTTTGGGTTGTATCTTCACATGACCATCATCTCTCTGGCTCTTATATATGATGTCTTTTATAAGGACATCAGTCACTTAGCATTAGGACCTACTTTACTCCAACGTGACTTCATGTTAGTTAACCTAGCTGATAACATCCTCAAAGACCCAGTTTCTAAAGAGGGTCACATTCATAGCTACAAGGATTAGGACTTCAACATATCTTTTTGGGGTAATATAATTCAATCCTTAACAGAAGTTTTAGTGGAAAGCTCAAGATGGAAGCCAGGTGTGAAATGGTCAGAAGGGATACAGATAGGTAGAAAACAGACATAGGAAGACAAAAGATGCTTTCCTAAAATGCAACCATCAAGCAATGGTAAGAGAGGTAGATTTGTAAGGTTAAAACAGAGTTATGCAAAGTTTTAGGGATTTTGTTTGTTTTTATTTTTAAGTTATAATAAGACCAGAGAAGATTCTTTAGTGCCTGAACAGAGAAGACAAGGATGTTTTTAAATAAATGGGGGTTAATTGATAGGCAGAACAAAGTCCTAAAAGAAGTTAGAGAGATTGGAGTTGAAAATTTAGCAAATCTCTTAACTTCAGCAGGGAGAATATGACAGCTCAGAATTCAGTGGGAAACATCTCTCTGGTTCAGAGTCCTGGGATGAATTATGGTGATGGTAATTTTACTTTTGATTTTATCTATATGTTCTAATAGAGAATGAATGAACATGCATTATCTGAGCATCAAATTTCATTTTTAAGAAAGATAACCTACGATAGATGCCTCATCTCCCTTACCAGAGGCACTGAGTGAGTGGAATAAAGGCCTTTTGACCTCCTTCACAGTTTCACCCAGGGCCACTCACCCGCATTTTGTTCATCATCTTTGGCACACCTCTCTAGGCTGCTCAGTCCTGAGCTAATAATCATGAAGGACAGCAAGCAGTCTTTACCTTCACAGATGTTAGAAAAGGAGACAAGAGATATTTCAAAGTCAGACATCTTTCTAGGATGTTTAAACACAGGACCATCTTGAAGAAGGAGAGATAGACCCCCCCCCCCATATTTGCTGAAAGCTCCATACCATATATGTTTGACTCCTGTGTAGAAGCAGGAGCCCTGGTGCCACAGTAGTTAAGGCATTCAACTACTAAATGAAAGGTCGGTGGTTTGGACCCACTACCCACTCCGTGGGAGAAAGATGTGTGGCAGTCTGCTCCCATAAATATTACAACCTTGGAAACCCTATTCTGTTGTATAGGGTTGCTATGAGTCAGAATCACCTCAATGGCAACAGGTGGTTTTGGTTTTTGGTGTAGTGAGGAAAGAATAATACAGTTCTAAGAGGAAAATAATTGCCACTGTACTGCTTTGAGTGTTGTGGTCTAATGAAGCAATGTGACTCTCTTCATTCATTGACAATACACATTAACAAAAATGAGGGAACCCCTCAGTGAAATGGTTTGACACAATGGCTGCAACCATGGACTCAAATATAGCCAACAATCATGAAGATGGCACAGGACTGGGCAGTGTTTCATTTTGTTACACACAGGGATGCCATGAGTCACGTGACTTGATGGCAACTAACCACAACTTATCAAGTATACTAACTTAAGAATTCACTTTGATTTATTAAGTTCCTTGAGGCTTTCCATCAACTTTGTACTTTGAGACTCATATACAGCTGTTCACTATACAGAGTGTTTATATGGGTGCTAAATTGGTAGAGGTTTTGCCTCTTTTTTTCCTCCCCATTCTTATTGTTGATATGTAGCAAAACATCTGTCAATTCAGCACTTCTCAGGTGTGCAATTTAGTGATGTCAGTTACATTAATCATATTGTCCAACCATCAACCATAAAACCAAAAACCTAACTCACTGTCATGAAGTCAGTTCCTACTCATAGCAACCCCCTTTGGTTTTCTGAGGTGGTAAATCTTTACAGAAGTAGATTGTCCAGTCTTCCTTCTGTGGAGTGGCTGGTGGGTTTGAACCACCAACCTTCTGGTTAGTAGTTAAATGCCTTAGGCACTACGCCACCAGAGCTCCTTATCACCCATAATAATTGCCAAATTTTTTATCACTATAAACTGAAAGTCACTACTTCTTAAACAATGATTCCCCCTTTTCCCCTTCTTCCCATCCCTGGTAACCACTAATAAATTTTGATCTATGCATTTGCCTTTTCAGTCTCAGGGTTTAAAATATCAGGGAAATTCATTGTCCTTTCAAAACCAAACCATTGAGTTGATTTCAACTTATAGTGAACCCCATTGGGTTTGCAAGGCTGTAAATCTTTACAGAGGCAGACTGCCTCATCTTTATTCTGCAGAGTGGCTGGTGGATTTAAACCACTGACCTTTTGGTTAGGTGCCAAATGCCTTAACCACTGTACCACCAGAACTCCTTATTCATTGTCCTTACCTAGTGTTATTTGACAGGTGTCATTACAAATTTACATACAGGCAGACCCTGTGTTACTAAGGTCTGACTTAAAAGTGAACCAAGCCCCATAATGCCTATTACATAAAAAATTCAAGGTATATACAATGGTTCATAACAGCAGTTGCTACATTGCAATGCACATCAAAACATTATTATTACTATTATCACTATACTATCTTAAAGATGCTTTGGTGTGTCTGGAAATGTTTCTTTAGTTTTTTTTATGCATAAAAGGGTATGCTACATACTATATACTAAGACAGACATTCGACTAACTCATGTTAGATACAAACCCTACCTAACTGTTTTGACTTAGGTACAAATTCAACTTAAAGACAGATTTAGGAACGGAACTTGTTTGTAATCCAGGGATTGCCTATATTCATTCATGTCATGCTTCCTGAATGTATCAGCTATTCATCAAGCGGCTGAGAATATATTGGGTGAGAAGAGATAAAATGTCTCAGCTAACTAATCCTTATTCACAACAATGGTGCCTGGAAAAATGTTTATTGGAAAAATTTCCTGCAGTTTTTGTTTGTTCCACAAGAGATACACAGCTAACAACATCTGTTGACTTCATAGTAGCTTCTGCTAAGATATCTCTGCCAGCCCCTGGACTGGACACTTTCCCACAGCTTCTGGAATGTCACCTGCTAGAAGGTCACCACTACAGTTAGAATCATGATGTGTAGAGCAAGGCCTGTAGGAAGAAATCTTGAACTCAAGCAGGAAAGCTACCTGATTATCCCAACTCTGTTTAAATAATTTCCCTGGGACCCATAATGGTATCAGTTTGGGCCGCATATCTGTCTGACACAAGTCAAAACTACTCATTAATGTCAAAGTGCCAGACTTGTTGCAGAGTCCAAAGTTTATACCAATAAGGCTGCCACAACATAAATTCAGCTCTTCCAAGTCAGTGGGTTACATTATGGCTGATTATTCCACTGCTATTAGAATGCCCTGTCCTGCAAAGAAAATGGGAAAGGTGGGCCTCCCGTTTTTGTGGCACTCCTGTCCCATGTTGGAGCTACACTTTCCCACACTGTGACCTGGCCTCCTCTCTGTGCCAGAAAATAGTGTATTTTGTTAGTTATGGTTGCATTAAGCTTGACAGTTCCATTGGTGAATGGCTGTTAGCCATGATGTTTCACTCCATGTGGTTTATTAGTAGCAATGCAACCAACCATGACCAAACAGAGAATTTATTTTACTTCATTGGTGTTTTATAAACATAGCCCTGGGCTAAAACAGAGTACATGCTAAATACTACACCTACTTTTTTTTCCCCGTTAAAATTATACTAAGTACATTTTCTTATATATTGATCTTTAAAATATTATCCGATAAGGAGTATATGGTGCTTGTGTAACTTTTAGAACTTTACTAAAATGGCTTTTATTGCACTAAATTAAATGTCAGTTTAGATTATTTGTATTATTAATGTTTTGTAATTTAATAAAATTGTCATACTATTCATTCTCCCCCCTCAACTATAGGTATGGAACAGGCTGTTTCTTACTTTGTAATACAGGCCATAAGGTTGGTTTTTTTTTTCCCAAATTAAAAGATTGCTAAAAGTCTCCTTTAAGTTCATATAAGTAATATCTGAACATAATTTGCTGTTAAGTTACTTTTGAGTTGTGACCTTTTATTTAATCTTTATCAGTCAGAATCAACTGGACGGCAACCAACAACAACAGGCTTTAATTTAGAATTCAATAAAAGCCATAAATTTGAATGGACCTAGTGAGAACCATAGGAGCTCTGGTAGCATAGTGCCTAAGGCACTTGACTGCTGACCAGAAGGCTGACGGTTCAAACCCACCAGCCACTCCTTGGAAGGAAGGTTGGGCAATCCTACTTCTGTAGTGATCTGCCTCGGCAACCCAAGGGGGGATTGCTATGAGTCGGGGCTGATACTGCCTCAGCAACCCAAGGAGGGATAGCTATGAGTCAGGGCTGACTCGACGGCACATAACAACAACAACAGTAAGAACCATGGGAGATCTGGTGGCATAGTGCCTAAGGCATTTGACTGCTAACCAGCAGGCTGGCAGTTCAAACCCACCAGCCACCCATCAGAAGGAAGTTTGGGCAATCTACTTCCATGGAGATACCACTGCAGGAGCCCAAAGAGGGGTTGCTATGAGTTGGAACAGACTTGACAGCAGTGAGTTTGTGTTTTTTTAAGTAAGAACCATTTCACATTCTTCGAATTTTCTGTGTGTGTTTTTAATTATGTTTTGGGGATATCTAGACTGGGACTTTATCAGATTCTTAATACAACTCTAATTAAGAAGAAGGAATAAACTTTGTACAGTTTAAATCTGTTATTTTTAATACTGATCATTTTGACGGTTAAAATTTATTTATAATTTGTTCTTAAAATTGGCAAATCTATTGAAATATTTTGTATCTGGGTCATTTTAGCTTTGAAAAAACATTCTCATGCTATCTTTTTATTTTCCTAACTACTGAAAATTCTTTCTGTTATTCCATACAGTGTGTATTTTCTGAACATGGCCTTCTGACCACGGTGGCTTACAAACTAGGCAGAGACAAACCGGTATATTATGCATTGGAAGTAAGTTATTTTAAATCACTGTGGATAATATGACACACATTTAAAGCTAATGAAAATTACAGTGTTTTCTAATACCTTTTCTGGAACAGAACTTGGGACCAGGCTGAGTCAGGACTCCCTGGAGACCTTTACTTGACTGGTTCCTCAGTTCTTAACACCAACTAGTCATGTAACATTGGGCATATTACTTGACCACCCTGCAATGTAAGATTGCCTATCTCTAACATTTAATAAAAGAATTGACTTGATCTCTGACATTGCTTTCAGCTTGAACATTCTGTGCTTTTATAACTAAAATGCTCCAGTGTTCCAAAGATAACCAGTAGACAAAAAAAGAAAAAGCACTGTCTTCAGTTATCTCCCCATAAAAATAAATTTTGTGTCACATTTTCATGTGGGAAAGAAAGTGGAGGAGATTTGTGCCATCTACCACTGGAAACATTTGTTTTAAGTATGTTTGTTCTGTGTGTCAAGGGTTAGCGTAACATGTCTCAACCTAAAACCCTATGATCTCTCTCTTTCCCTTTCCACCAGTATGGACAGTGCTTAGCATAGCACTAGGCTCGTAGACTGTATACTTGATAAGTATTTCCTGTAATAATAAATAGTAAGTTCTCTTTTTTTTCTTATACAATCAATGATTTAGAATTGTAGATGCCTTAGACCTGGAAAGGTCCTCAGGGATAGAGGTCACCTGGTCTTAACAACTTCCAATATGAAAAGCCTTCTCTTGTATGCTTTACTGATAGCTTGCTGACTTTTGTTTGAAAATTACACCAAAAACTGAGAAAAGGGGATACTAAACCCAAAAACCCAAACCCATCGCATTGATTCCGACTCATAGCAATCCTATAGGACAGAGTAGAACTGCTGCCTGAGGGTGTTTCCCCACGCATCAGCAGTTCAGTCCTTTTTATGGCCAAATAAAGTCCACTGTATGCATATACCACATTTTAATCCATTCATCAGGCTGCCCCAGGGTGTTTCCAATATATACGGAGGCAGATTGCCACATCTTCTTCCTATGGAGCCGCTGATGAATTTGAACCTCTGACCTTTTGGTTAGCAGGCAAGCAATTAACCACTGCACTACCAGGGCTCCTAAGCCTAATTCTACTCAACTGGATCTACTGAAATATACAAATTGCAGTAACTAGAAGCTGTGAGTGATAGATTTGTTTACATTCTAAAAACTGACAAGAAAGAGTAACCATTTATAATAGAACTAAACTGCTGAATAAATGGGGACAGGGAGGTAGGCAACAGGTAAACGACATTCTGGTTTAATACATACCTGTTAAAAACACCAAATGTCACCTGACAGTCTGGTTTGGGCAACTCTGTGGAAGTAATATATATTAATAATCTCTGAGTGAAACATCAGTGCAAAAAATTTTTGCCATTCCTATGGTTTGTGATGATAGGAGCTCTTGTGGTGCAGTGATTAAGGCATCTGGCTGCTAACCCACCAGCTGCTCCATGGAAGAAAGATGAGGAAGACTGCTTCTGTAAAGGTTCATAGCCTTAGAAACCCAATGGGGATCGCTATGAGTTGGAAAGGAGCTCTGGTGGCGTAATGCCTAAGGCATTTGGCTGCTAACCAGAAGGCTGGAGGTTCAAACCCACTAGCCACTCCTCAGAAGGAAGATTGGACAATCTACTTCCATAGTGATACCGCCTCGGAAACCCAAGGAGGGGTCACTATGAGTCGGATTTGACTCGACTTGATGGCAGTGAGTTTATGGTTTGTGTTGATAATCTGTTTTTCACCCTCAGTGTCTTCTTTTTAACAGCTTTATTGAGATAAAATCTATACACTATGAAATTCAACTTTTTAAAGTATACAGTTTATTGGTTTTAGGTATATTCAAAGAGTTGGGCAACCTTACCCCAAAGAGAAATTTCCAGCAACTTCTGCCA